TCTCTCTCTCTCTCTCTCTCTCTCTCTCTCTCTCCTGATATTACGATATTACTGATATTAGGTTGAGGTATTCCTCTCGGCAGCCGGCGACGTCGATGGCCGAAATATCGACGCTTTAATTATCTCCGCTGATCTGGTAAATCCCCGCAATATCGGGGATATATCGCAACGATTCGATCGAGGCAGCGCAAGTCCGATCGGCCAGGACGATAGACGAATTTTCGAGCGATTGGCGTGCGAGATACGCGCTCTCAACGCTACCGAGAGAAATCCGGCTTTATCGAACGCCTACCGTCAACATCGTGGGCTCTCTCGCTGATGGGAAAAGAAAAACGATCCGTTTCTGCGATGGGAGAAAGAGAGAAAGAGCGAGAGCGTATATCGAGCTGCAGGGGCACACGCCGCCGGGACGTGAGCGCGATATAACTCGTATCGTTTCGCTCCGATTTGAACGAGAGCGAGGTAAAGCGCCGAAGGAGCAGGACGCAACAATCCGGTCCAGAGAAAGAGAGAAAGAGAGAGAGAGAGAGCAGTAGAGAGGAATTCATTACTATATTCGACGAAGAAGGAAGTCCAGCACGGAAGCCGCGCAAGGGACGACATTTAATTCGTCGACGCAACCGATCGTCTCTCTCGACGCCTTTTTTTATTTTCGCTGGACGATTCGCTCGAAATCTCCTTACTGAGGCTTCACGAGAAGAAAGCAAAAGGCGTACATTGAATAAATAACAATTAGCGCGTATAAATCGGTGTAGTTGCTCGGATATCCGGGAAGAGTTACCGCGATCGAAAATCTCTACTCGATTTGTGCATTAATCACGACCGCGAAATTATTTTCTTCCCCCTTTTAGGAATTCAATTACGCTCCGCGAAATGCCCGAGGGGCAAACCGAGGTTGTCACCGCAAACGTCGTGACGATCGAATCTATTTGACGTTGCAACTACCGTGACGATCAACAACGCGATCTACTTCTACTGGAGGGATCGAAATGATCGGTTTCCCCGGAAGACGCGAGGGCAGCAAAAGTGTCGAATTGTTTCTTATAGCTTGACTCGAGGTACGCCGAAAATGTAAAATACACGCAAAATTATGCAAATTGCATAAATTCGGTTGATCCTCGCAAGAAATAACAGACCGTTTATCTCGAGCGCTTCTAGTGTTAATTTGTCGCCTCGATCGTCCAAGGCGAGCGGCGAAATCGCGCTGATAAGCGCACACAGACCGTCTAATCTTAACTTCCTAATATATTTAATTCGGGCAGGTGTAATTAAACTACAAGCAAATGACCCGCGATAGCTCGCAAGTCGCCATACGTGAGCGGCATGGAGTATCGATATCGCGAAACTGAGAATATAGCCGGCGAGAGAATCGAGCGATCAGGGTGCTACCTCGTCGCTCTATTTCTCTCACTCGCTCTCACAGCGCTCAGAGAGCGCTCTCTCGCTCGCCCTCGCAGCGCTCCCTTTGTCTCGCGCCCGCGCGACGCGCGTGCCGCGTGCGAATCCCGGCCTTTAAATCGGCAGAATCGAATCGGGGAATCGGCGAACGCCGCGTATATAAAAGCAAACGAGATCGGCCACCGCTATCGGCTGCTCTTTAATCGACGAGCACGCGCTCGATGTCAATCGCGGAGGACAATTCCGTTATCGGCAGCTTTGGAAACGCGGCCGGCGACGTAAGTCGCGGCTTATCAGCGCCGCCGGGCCGAGTTTTCAGCTCAATGACGACGAAATGTCAAAATCGCCGTCACGCTGCGACTGTTTCCTCGCCGTGCCGAGGGAATTAATTTCCGCCGAATTACGAACGCGACATTGCGGTAAACAGGAATAATCGCCGCGGAAAGAGTGTGATTATGCGCGGCGAAGCGCGTTGTTTCCTCACGGAGAGCGATTCAGCCTACGAATTAACATACACGTATATAATTTTACATATATTAAAAGAGAATAAGAATATAGAGATTGAACCTCTTTCTCGCCGAGCCTGGGAAAAAAGAGCGACCATTCATGTCATTCGTCCGGGTCTCTCTCTTTCTCTCTCTCTCTCTTTCTCTCTCTCTCTCTCTCTTTCTCTCTCTCTCTCTACCTCTCTGTCTCGAGTCCGAAAGTACAGATATGTCGTTCTATTTCGGGGAAATGAACAAATCTCGATTAAGGGGGGAAAAAGCCCGTTAAACGCATGAAACGCATTATGTATGAGCCAATTCAAAGAGACCGCGTTAATATTACAGAGGGGACATTGATACGTAAAGACAATTTTCCGTCTAATTTATCTTTCTCATCCCCCCGCCTCCCAGTACGTTTCAACTATCACACTCGTTCTACATATACTTCGGGGTGCAATTTAAAAAAATTAAATGAAAAGTGAATGATCGAAAAGTGGAAACGTGCGCGAAACTTAGCCCAAGGGATCAATAATCTTATTACTGTTTACTGTTTGGCTCTTCGTACAAAACGTGAACAGTGAAAGTGAAAACGTGAAAGTGAATAAACAAAAGGGGCCAACTTCATTTCATTTTTAAGTGGGGGTAAATCCGAGGACTTATAATCGGCGATTTTAACTTTAACTTTAACTTCGCGATCGATGCACGATGTCTCTCTCTCTCTCTCTCTCTCTCTCTCTCTCTCTCTCTCTCTCTCTCTCTCTCTCTCTCTCTCTCTCTCTCTCTCTTTCTCTCGATACGTCGCGAATGAATCTTCCCGAGAAATTCCGATTTACGATGCGCTGTTGCCTTAAACCTTTAATATCTCTTCGGAGATAGCCGGCGTGTGTAGCCGGCTTAAGTGTCTCGCATGTGTATCTAAAAATTCGCATATTAAAATCGAATAAATCTTATTCCGTCGGAATATTTTCGTGAAGACCCGGCGATCGCGCGCCGTAAGTATCGCGAGCGCGTGTCGTCGTCGTGTATTCGCATTCGCGCGTTCGTTCGTCGACAAAGAATTCCGCGAACTGCGGAATCTCAGGATCACAATGGACCGGGCTCGGGACAAAAGAGACGCGACAGGCTTCCGATCGCCGTGGAAACACTTGACGATTCCGTGCGTGAGCGAAAGCGAGCGGGCGAGCGCGCGCGCGAAAAAGTGAAGGAGAGAAAGACGATCGGTTGCATCTTAATCGCGAGCAATTTAAATGCCCTCACGAACGACGATCTGATGAAGATACAGCGGCGGCAGAAATAGTGTCATCGCGCTTTTGTCCGCGAAGTCGACTGTCTTTCGTCGGAAGCGAGACCTTACGAGACGTTACCGCGCGTTTTACGACGCACGTTCCGAGAATATTCCAAATTGGCGAAACAATTAAAGCCCCGCGGAACGCATAATTTCAGAACCACCGACCGCGCGCGCGCGCGCGAGAGAGAAAGAGAACGCATTGCTGAATATGGGGAATCTCAATCGGCGGGAGATTGCTATCGGTGCGCGTGAAAACACGTGGCGATCAAGATGGAAGAAAGAGAAAAGAGACACATGCGCGCATTAATTTTTAGTGTGTTCGCCGCAACAATGCGCTCGTCCCGGCTGCGATGTAAACGCAACTGTTGCCTTATCCGGTTATTAATATCGACTTTCGCGCTTCCTTTGTCGGTACGTCAACGTCGACTTTGCATAATTCGACGACCGCGCTCTCTGTTCGACTCACCACCCTCGAAATCGCGCGGGGCTCGAGAAGGTGGGGAGGAATTCAAGCCACGAAAAAGATACGTGGACTCTCTCTCTCTCTCTCTCTCTCTCTCTCTCTCTCTCTCTCTAGTCCCGGCGTGGCCGCGTTATACACCGAGGGAACAGAAATTCTCACACGCGCCCGCGTGGAAATTGACCTTCATCCGTCCGCCGGGTGTATATTTAGATACAAATCAATTCAATTACATTGTTCTTTAAGAGTACCGATCCAACACACAGCCGCGTTTACCCTCGGTGTTTTTAAATCGACGAATAATAATAAATTGTCGATGTCGGTCGCGTCCGAGAATAAGATTCACGAGTGACAACGACAACATTAGACGCGTCGGTGCGAGACCTTTAACTCTGCAGCGGTGACATGATTTACAATAGCGCTGTATTCTGCTTACATAAATATAGGTAAGTTATATATAAACTCGGAATATAATTCTTTCCAAATTCTCTCTCTCTCTCTCTCTCTCTCTCTCTCTCTCTTTGCTCTAGTAAAATATTAACAAAATTATATTAAATTAATTATATTATATATTATATAAATTATAAATTATAAATTAATTAAATTATAAATTATATATTAATTATATTAAATTTAACAAAATTTAATTTTATTAAAAATGTCGACACGGAGCTTCAATTCTAGATCGAGACGCTTTCTCTGTCTCTGCTTCTCTCTGTCTGCTTCTCTCTCTCTCTCTCTCTCTCCTTCTTTCGTAACTGAGATGTCTCTCAAAAGAAACACGTAATCGTTTACGTCTTACGACCGCGGGAATTTGCCGGCGTCGATTAACTTCCAATCGTGACTCGATCGTTTCTATCTTTAGCCGCTGCCTTTCGAAAAGGCGCCTGAGAGAGGCATCGAAGCGCGTTATCCAAGTTAACCGACGCGCAATCGATTTTACCTCTCGGGACTGATTTTATCTGACAATTTCTACTCCATTCGAGCAAAGCTCGCCAATTAGAATCTGCTCAGTCGTCAAAGGCGAGCGAGCGAGCGAACGACAGAAAGAAAGAAAGAGAGAGAGAGAGAGAGAGAGAGAGAGAGAGAGAGAGAGAGAGAGAGACAGAGCAAACGAGCCGCTCCGTGAGCTTCTCGGTAAAGAATGCCGCTGCGCGATCCCTACCGCGAGACTGCCAGAAGCCTGCGCCGCCGATGCCGACGCCGTCGCTGCCGACGACGACGATAATGACGACGACGACGACGGTAACGACAATAACGCGCGATCCAGGCGTACATCGCCGGCTCGTCGGGAGACTTTACGTATGCGACAGGCGGCGATTCGCCGCGCGCGGCTGACGTCGACACGTAAACCGGAAACGGCACTCACCTCCAACATCCATTCGGCGACGATCTTGCGCATGAACGGCGAGATATCCCTCTGCACGCACTCGAAGTATGAGCTGCTGGGCGCGTACCGTTCCTCAGTCTGCAGCAAGTTCTGCAGGACTCGGTCGTCGTCGAGGAGAGCCGGGTCGGCGTAGGCCCGGCAATTGTTCTCCGTGGTCTCGCAGCAGAGGAGATCCATGATGATGACGATGATGACGACGACGACGACGACGACGAGGATGACGACGGGCGAGCAAGTGTCTTCGGCAATGACGACAGTCCCGCGATCGCCACACCTCGAGAGACTCGCAGCCGGCTGGCGTTCCCGTTCGCGTCCCCCCGGAGAAACGTCGTCCCGGCTCTCGCTGTGTTCTGTCCACGTGCTCGCTCGCACGTTCTCGCTGGATCTCCGCGAGAGAAGACGAGACGGCGTGAGAAAGGGGAAGGGCGGCACGGAGACGGGAGTCGGGGGGCACTTAACACTTTTTCACAGCGACGAATCGTATAACGATGACGACGACGGGGCGCTCGTTACGGTAGCCCGAGACGAGACGGAGACACTCACCTCGCGACGAGTCGCGAAACGCAGCGACGACGTCGACAGCACGGGCGTGCGTGTTCGTACGCGCTGCTACGTGTGCACGCGTGTGCGTGTACGTGCGAAGTCGCAGTCCGAGCGAGACGAGAAAGAGAGAGAGAGAGAGAGAAAGATAGAGAGAGAGAGAGAGAGAGAGAGAGAGAGAGACAGAGAGAGAAAGAGAGAGTAAGGAGTGCCCGTTTCTCGGTAGTTTCTCACGCACTACACATTTTCCTCGCTCCTTATCCGGGGATCGATTCTTCTCTCTCACTCTCTGGATATGTTATGTCTCTCTCTCTCTCCCTCTCTTCTCTTGTCGTGACGACGGCGACAAATCGTGGACGTTGGTCTCTCCTCGGTGCTGCTTACTTCCTTCCTCGTCGGCGGCTCTTCGGCTCACTCCCACACACGTGTGTTACTCGGGCGAATCAAGGCGCACAGAGCGTAGATACGAATAAATAATCACGGAAGGGTCTTCAATAAATAAGCGTAGCGTGAGCGTAAGCGCGCGTACGTAACGCTACTCTCTCGGCCACGGTGGCACTAAACTCGTGTCGCGCGACTCGCGTGTCTGTCAGTCAATGCGCTCCGGTCGTCTGGTTTTGCCGGAAAGTCGTGAGAGGAGAGGGAGAGAGAGGAGAGCTCAGGCAGGCAGGCAGGCAGGCAGAAGCTAGGTCCCGAGGACCGGTAGCGATGGCGGAGGTGCGGAAGGTACCGACAATGTGCGGGAGACAAAAAATCACCTTCCCTGGAGCGAGGGGAAACAGCAGGAGAGAGAGAGAGAGGCAACCTCCTCGGCTCGGTCAGTCCGTCTGGCCTGCGGTCGAGATTTAAATGTCCTCTGCGCGAGGAGCACGAGAATCCCTCTCCACTTTCTCACGAACCGACACCGACGACTTATCAGGTCAAAATGCCGGCGTTGCTCGACGCGCTGCCGCCGCGCAGCGCTGCTCTCCCCACCAGCGCGGCGCCAGCGCGTCACGTGGAACTTAAGTGTACCACCACCACCGTCGTCTTCGCTGGAGAACGACGACTTGGTCGTGGTGGCGCCGCTTCGGCAGGGCAGTCGGGGCGCGGCGATGTTGGCGGGAAGGAGGGTGAGTATGTGCGTGCGTGCGTGCGTTGTGTCGCATCGTGCGTCGCATCGCGTCGCATCGCGCTAGTGCGTCCGACACCTTCGAGGAAATTTTTCGATTTTCTCTCTCTCTCTCTCTCTCTCGCTCTCGCTCTCGCTCTCGCTCTCTGCGTTCACCGAAAATATAGTCGACGTTACGTGGCATTCCTGCACAGGTAGATACGCCGCGCGCGCTAATGGATTCTCTAACTCTGGCCAGAGGATGCTCGTCGAAAGGCCGAAAGTTAAAGCCGACGGTGTCCCCCTATTGTGCGCGCACGTATACGTGCGCTCGACAGTGAGGAAGCTCCGCGGATACACCGAGCGAGAAAATCGGGATTCTCCCGATTGTTATGAATGTAGTAGACTCCCTCTCCGTCTCGACACTCCGTGTTGTTGTCCTCCGTGTCTCCCGCCTCGGGACACCTGTTCCCGACGATGACAAGCCGACGGTGTTCGGCGATGTTCAAAGGCGCCCGGGTCTCCTCCTCGACTACCTCTCACGTTTCTATGAAGCTTCTAACGAGCGGCCGAGCACGCTTGTCGAGCGGAACCACGGATTCCTGACCGCGTAAATTGTCTCGCATCGATCCTCCGTTCGGGCATTAATTATCGGCTTGCTTTCTTAACTAATAACTAAGGAGCTCGCGATGATCTGTTGTAAAATGAGCTTCGTCATACACGAGCCGATTCCTCATCGGCGAGCGGCCGATGGACAATGGGCGCCCTTGCAACGACAGTCGCGCCTCTTCTTCTGGTTCTCCTCCTCCTCCTCCTCCTCCTCCTCCCCCCCTCTCCCCTCCTTTCCTT